TCAGTCTTTAAGGCAATTTCACTGCCATGCCCATGCTTTTGTGTTTAGTAAGTCTGTAGTTGGGCTTGTCTCCCTCATGGAATCACAGAATAGTACTATAAGCGTGGGGTTTTCTCCTACACAGTTATCAGCTGCAAGCCAAACAGGAAATCTAGGGTTTTTTTTTTGCAGAGCACTTTTAGATACCACCAACTGTAGATACTACTTATTCAGGTCTGTTACAGTCTTAAAGGCTCTTTATTTATAAGCTCTGAGGTGCTGTGGGTTTTCGCTTTTATGCCAGGTCTCTCCCACATCAGCCATCTACTCCTGACCTGATTGATAAAATAAGGCAACAAAACTAAATGAATACTAAATGATTACTATTTGAGTACTCCAAGGAAACCATGATTAATCACAGTAACTCGGGTGTTCCTTTTGGGAAGTATTTCCATAGCCATCAATACTTCCTTCACATGTACACTCAAAACTGGTCCCTAAGATCTTGTAAACTGTGGATTAAAGACATGTTCTGGGGTGGGAAGCAGCTTTCTCTTTATCACCAGGAATGATTGTGGCTGAAGCCTAAATACTAAATAAAAGTAAAGTACTGGGGTAAACTGGAATAAGATCTTCCACTGTTACTGTTCTCAGTGGCACCATAAACTGCTCAGCTACTGAAATGCCTAAATATTTACTGATAGATGAATCCATGGACTTTTGTATCTGGAATAAAAGGAAATCTGACCTTAGAAAGAATTATAGCTTGACTACCTCTTCAGGTTGTTTTCAGAAAGGGAGATGTAAGTTTACTAATAAGTAGAATCATAGAATAATCATAGAATAGTTTGGGTTGGAAAGGACCTTAAGATCATCAAGTTCCAACATCCCTGCCATGGGCAGGGACACCTCACACTAAACCAGCTCACCCAAGGCCTTGTCCAACCTGACCTTGAACACTGCCAGGGAAATAGGAAGGTAATAACTGGTTTCTTTGAAAGCACCGATTTATTTTGCCAAAGGCTGGCCTTTTCTATGTCCTTTTCCTGTGCTCATTATGGGGTGACAGGAGCCTCCCTCTGTCCTCTATAGCTCCCTCACAGGCAGCCATCCAGGGTAAAGCAGGGGATCACAGAGGTGGGAAGGCACCTCTGCAGGTGCTCCAGTCCAACCTCCTTTCTTCCCCCATTCACTTCTAACAAACTAAAAGCCCTTCATTACCTTAAACTGATTTCACCTCAGGTTGATGTGGTAGCTCTACGTGTGCAGATACCCATGGTGTTTCTATCTGGACACATTTGGACAGTGGTAGGAGACAGCTGGAGCTGTGTTCATCATGCCACTGAGTTTCCCTGGGATTTTTCCTAAGCAGGACTGGGAATGCTGCTGGTGTGAGACTCCCAAATGTCAGATGTGCTGTGCAGCCAATTGAGAGCTGGTGTCAGACCAAGGAGAGGCTGAAGTGAGTGGTCTGAGCTGGGAGGGGGGATTGAGAGGAGGGGAAGCCAACCGTCACTGGTCTGGCAGCAGCAAGCTGTTAGTGTGGTTCACACCACACTGCGATAGGAACAGCTGTAACCCTTGAATGCATTTATACTTCCCTGCTCTTGAATGCAAAAGCAAACTCCTTAATGTCTGAGAAAACTCGTGTGAATCGTGCAGGTGTGCGTTTCTGTTGATGTTTCTGAAGCTTGCACTAAAAAAACTGGAATTTGCTATTTACGAAAACATTTTTCTTCCTTATTCAGTAAGAAGCCCACAACATTATTTTGCAGGGAGCACTGGTTTTGCCTGGTAAAACTCAAGCTGCTTTAATGTACTATTCAGAATAATCCTCTGAAAATCTTGTTTTTAATTACATCTAATGCATAAGTTGCCATATATTCTTTCAAATTCAACATCCTGTAAGCTGTAAAATACAGTCCCATGATTAATTATTCTTTATAACTCATTAACCGTCTTATTAGAGTATGAGTTGAGCAGTTCAAAGTACAATTAGAGGTCAACCATGTCCTGCGCTACCAGCTTCCAGCCATTGTACCTGAAAGTGCTCCGTGTGGTTTTGTTTGCAGACCCTGGAATGCTGGAGCAGCCGGTGCTTTCAGGAGAGCATTTTAACTTGTTGGCTATTACTTTAGTGCTGTTCTTTGAAATGTGTTAGTACTGAAGGAGCAGTTTGACCTGTAGCTCACCCACAGGAGATTCAATTCATCACTGATGTCAAGGACTGTAAAGATTTTATAGTTGCCTGGTCTCAGCTCTGTATCCTCTCAGCATGCACTGAGGGAGCCTTTTTGCCTTGCAAGTAGGAGTAACAACCCAGGGACTGCAGGAATACAAAAGACATTAACTTGTTGATGCTGGGAGAAAGTGTATTTTGTTCGTGCTAGGTGTTTTATGTAAAACATCAATGCATTAACCATTTAGATAGTGAGCTGTGTCTTCAAGTCTGTCCAAACAAGCACTGAAATAGAACAATGTATGGGGGGGGGCGGTGTTTTGTTTTAAGGCCCTGTACACCTGCAGATGATGGTTCTGGGTTATGATCTTGACCAGAGGAGAAATACAAGTGTCTCGGCTTCTTAAAACCAAGTATACTTGTGGATAGTAACCTGGTGTGGGCATTTTGCAAGATGCTAAGTATCTGTGCAACGACAGTTACTCTGTGAGTATTATCCTGAATTCCAGCTTGGCCCAGCAGAAAATATCATGGAATCAGAGAATGGATTGGGTTGGAAAAGATCTTAAGATCATCCAGCTCCAAGCCCTGCCACGGGCAGGGACCCCTTCCACTAGAGCAGCTTGCTCCAAGCCCCTGTGTCCAACCTGCCCTTGAACACTGCCAGGGATGGGGCAGCCACAGCTTCTCTGGGCACCCTGTGCCAGCGCCTCAGCACCCTCACAGGGAAGAGCTTCTGTCTAAGAGCTCATCTCAGTCTCCCCTCTGGCAGGTTCAAGCCATTCCCCTTGTCCCATCCCTGCAGGCCCCTGTCCAAAGCCCCTCTCCAGGTTTCCTGCAGCCCCTTCAGGCACTGGAGCTGCTCTCAGGTGCTGCCCCAGCCCAGCTCTCTCAGCCTGGCTCCAGAGCAGAGCTGCTCCAGCCCTCGCAGCATCTCCATGGCCTCCTCTGGACTCACTCCAACAGCTCCACGTCCCTCTTGTGCTCTTGCCTCAGAGCTGGATCAGGGCTGCAGGTGGAATCCTTATGCCTTTCCTGGACAAGGAGCTCTTCTAAAGCCATATTCCCACTTGCGAGTGGAGCTACCAGGGTGCAGGTTAGATGTCATAGGGAGCATTAGGAAAACACTTCCACAGTACAAACCCAGCAGTCAGCGTGTGCCCGTTGTTGCAGAGCTGTGTGGCAGTGGCTGTTTCTATACATTGTGATCAGCTTGTGTTTCTGATCAGTAAATCCTGAGCAGCATCTGCAGCCCTAAAGGCTCTGCCCCACCCTCATTCATCTCCAGTGCTGGGTGCTTCTGTAACCTATTGTGTCTAATATTTGTTGAGCTCTTTAGAATTACAGAAGAGCTACAGCCCTTCTGTATTTGGGAGGGTGGTACAGGCTTTCAATGGGGAGTAAGACTGTTCTCACTCCTGTGGTTTCAAAACAGCTATGTTTACATGAAATTGGGAACACTCACTTCTGGAATTGTAGTTTCTTTTTCTTGGTGACTTTCTTCCTATTTTCAAACAGTACTTCCTCCTCCATGACTTTCCTTTTGAAAGTAGAAAGGCTCAAAACTGGTGAGGTGGTTGCTCAGGTCGACACTTCTGGCCTTTCCTTGCTAACTCACTCACCTTTTCCTTGCTAAGTAACTCACCTTTTCCTTGCTAACTCACCTTTCTGTTCAAAGCCTGACACCCACACTGAGGTATTCTCCCTGAGTTACTGAGATGAATGTCTATAATAAATAACATGGTAAATTTTGAGCTGTTAAAAGGACTGGTGGTTATTTTTGTTACCATTCTCCTCCTCTTTGAAGTTCATTTTGTTGTTTGTTGGGTTTTTTCAATTGCTAGTACACAAGAAGGGCATTTGGACACGGGCCTGTAGGGACGGGCCAAGGGGAATGGCTTGAACCTGCCCGAGGGGAGACTGAGATGAGCTCTTAGGCAGAAGCTCTTCCCTGTGAGGGTGCTGAGGCGCTGGCACAGGGTGCCCAGAGAAGCTGTGGCTGCCCCATCCCTGGCAGTGTTCAAGGCCAGGTTGGACACAGGGGCTTGGAGCAAGCTGCTCTAGTGGAAGGGGTCCCTGCCCGTGGCAGGGGTTGGGACTGGAGGAGCTTTAAGGTCCCCTCCAACACAAACCAGGATAGGATTCTATGAAGAAATCCAATTGTTGAGCTTTAGGAAACACTCCTCGGCACGATGCAATGGATGATAAATCAGAGTGGAAACACTGCGCCTCTGCCCTATACAGAAGTCGCCTGGAGCGGCAGGAAGCGGCTGCTGCTCGCAAGAGGGACTTAATTCAAGGGTAAAAGCGTGGCCGAGGCCCCGCAGCACGGAGCTCCGCACCCGCGGAAGGGCCGCTCTGCCCTTGCGCAGGGGAGGAAGGAGGCCGGTGTGTCCCGCGCGGCCGCGTCCCGCCTCACCTTGCCCGGCACGCCGCGGTGGTCCGTGCTGCCCTGCCAGAACCGGCGGCTGTAGCCCAGGACGCGCCCCACCATCTTCTGCTCGTAGGGGAAATCCACCTTCCAGATGAGGGAGCCGTAGCCGAACACCCACATGGCCGCCCGCCCGCCTGCCCCACTGCCGGGCGGCACGGCACGGCCCGGGCCTGCGCACTGCCTCCGGGGCGGCCCCGCCGGGAGCCGGCTCCTCGCCTTGTGGCTGTTGGCCGGGGGAATATTACCACCACCACCCCCCCCCCCGCCCTCCGAACTGTGTGCAGGGAGCCACTGGGTACCTATGGCACCCCCAAAACCGCTGCAGAACGAACCAAACCGACCTCATACGTGTTCTGTGCTGACAGGCGCCTCTTTCCCCTCCTCTCCTCCCCTTTCTTCCTCCCGCAGAGCTGGCCGGACGCAGGGATGGATTTCACGGAAGCCTACTCGGATCGGTGTTCTGCCGTGGGGCTGGCGGCCAGGGAAGGGAACGTTAAAGTGCTGAGGAAGCTCATCAAGCAGGGATACAGCACTGACGTTCCCGATAACAGGGGCTGGGTGCCAGTCCACGAAGCAGCAGCTCGTGGTTCGAGTGAGTGTCTGAGGCTGCTTGTTCGTGCAGGTGAGGAAAACTTGATGTGAAGTAGTGGGGTTTTCTGCTAAATTACACTGCCATTAGAATACATAGATTTCTTTCACCATATTCTTAGTTATTTTGTGAATTTATATGTGGTTTCCTAGATACTGACTCTACATAGTGAAGAGAAATGGGCACATTGTAGCCTGTGAATGACACTGGGTTTTACTCTGTCTTCTCTGCCCAAAGCTGTTATCTGTGTAGGGCCAGCAATAACTGACGCTGCTGCTTGGAAGAGGTGATAACAACACGTTTGCGCATACACTGTAGGCCACAGATCTCAAATAACTGGGTTATGTGAAGAAAATAACTGTGGTTTATAATCCATTACTAAATACACTCTCATTTTTCTCTTTCATTACTCTCCTGTAGCTCCATCTGATGACTATGTGAACTCCAAGACGTTTGAAGGGATGTCTGCACTGCACCTTGCAGCACGCCGTGGCTCTGTGGAAAGCATCCGTGTTCTCCTGGAGGCCGGGGCTGACCCCAATGACGTTACCATGGAAAGAACCACCCCCCTGTTCCTAGGTGACACAAGCTTTCTTGGGATCTCAGAACACCCAATGGGTGGGGAAAAGCTTATTCACTGAGTTTAAACTCACCAGAGTTCACTCACTGCCTACCAGGCTTTATGTTTTAGTAGCCTAAATAAAAGGCTTTCGACTCAGAGATGGTGCATGACTAGGAATTACTTTTCATTTATGGATAATTCTGCTTCAGGCTGTGTGTGCAAACAAAACTATGAAACCAAATTGGCTTTCATCACCACCTGCTCTTTCTTTCTAGCAAAGAAAAATAGGATTACACCTGTATGAGGGTGTTTCAAGTCTTATTCTAACTCCTTCCTACTTCTTCTGTGAAACGCCTCTTATTCTTTCTGCAGTTCCTAGTTTAGCAGTTACAGCAGTTAAAAGTCCATTATTACAGTTTTTTTCACTGTGATTTGATGTAAATAATAGCTTAGAACAATTGGCAACAGATAGCACTTATGGGGGAATCATCATTAAAAGCACGCTGGATAACGATAATTAAGACTGTATGTGGATTAGACAAGGGGAAAGAATGGTTCTGGGGCTGTGTGTCCATGAGAGAGTTAAAAAGGACCAAGTTTCTGGTCAGGTTAGTGCAGGCTCTGTGGTGGAGCTATGGCACAGCTCTGTGTTAGATGTCGAGTACTACAAGCCAGAGGCACTGCTCTGGAGAGCAGTGTGTGCCACAGGAAAGAGGGAGGAGAGAAGCTTGCTGTTACCTGTCTTAGCACAGGGTAGGTGGGGTTTTCACAGGTCTAACTAAAAGCTCTGCAGTCAAATTTCCATTCTCCAACACTGCTTTGGGGCTGTAAGTTTAAAAGGCAAGGAAACAAATATTGAAGGTGAGTTTAAAAGAATTCAGTTTAAGGTGAGTTTAAAAGGATTGTGATTATTGTGCAGGGAAGTGAGCAGTGAGACCATCTGAGTTTTTTAGGGAGCTCTTGAAATCCATTTAATTGGAATTTCTTGGCCTCTTTTTTCCCTGTTTCATTCCCAGCTGTTGAAAATGGCAATACAGACTCTGTAACCTTCCTGCTCCAACATGGGGCGAATGTTCAAGGACCTCATTCCTTGTCTGGATGGAATTCTTTGCACCAAGCTTCTTTACAGGTAACCTGTAAGTGTATCATATAATTTCCATGTAACTGGTGTATTCTGAGTGATAACTTCTGCATTTCTTGGCCTCTATATAGAAGTGTTTTTCCTAACCTACCCTATAGTCAGAATGGGATCTAAAGGCTGAAGTGCTTGCAGTGCACTGAAGTGGAGCTGAAACTGCAGGAGATGCTGATGTTGGGAAGCAATAATTATTTAGAAGCATTATTTAATCAGTGTTGGTTGATTAATTAATTAGAAATATTGCATGTACTCCCAAGCTTACCTGTTGGATTTGGGAAGTGAATCTCTTACAGGATATTTTGACACAGAGTTCTGTCTAGTATCTCATCGTCAGTGAGATGTGAGACCTGTTTCTGGATATGTTAATGGCTCTTAAACTTGTTGATGAATGATTCTAATAATTTAATTTCTGTTTGTATGTAGCCTTTAAATGAGCAAGTGTGGAAAAATCAAATGAAACCTGTCTGATTGTTTGCCAGTAAATTCTCAGTATATCTTTAGAATTGAAGTATATTCTTATTTCTGCTTAGAATGTGTGGAGAAAAGGAGATTAAGTCAGTGTTCTGCTGCTTTGTTGTTTGAGAATACAAATATCTATTTCAGGAATGCACTGAGATCATTCAAATGCTCCTGGAGAAAGGGGCAGGCAAGGAATGTAAGGATGACTTTGGAATTACGCCGCTCTTCGTTGCTGCTCAGTATGGAAAGCTGGAGAGTTTACGACTGCTCATATCCCATGGTAATAGTGATCACCCATTTAGCTTCACTGTTCTTAAACTTACGTCACCCTGTCACCACTTTAGTTCTGCTCCTGCGCTTCAGAACTTCACATTTTGTCATTTTTAAATGTAGTTTTAGTTGTTGATGGATGTGCAAAACCATCTTCATTGCTTAAATTTAATATAGTTGTCAGCAAGCGATGGTAGGACATAAGAAATTAAATAGCAAATTAAAAGATCAAGGATCATTAAAGGTCTTCTAGAAGCCCTCCATAGTGCTACACGAATAGACTGGTTTTGATGACATTGCTCTTCTAATACAATATAGACTTGCAGACTCAGCCAGGCTGGAAAAGCCCTTCAAGCTCATCCAGTCCAACCATTCCCAGCACTGCCAAGGCCACCAATAACCCATGGCACTGAGGCCTCGTCTCCACGGGCTGTGAACCCTTGCAGGGACGGTGACTGCAGCCCTGCCCTGGGCAGCCTGTTCCAATGCCTGAGCACCCTCTGGGGAAGGAATTGTTCCTCAGCTCCATCTAAACCTGCCCTGGTGCAGCTTGAGGCTGTTTCTTCTTGTCCTGTCACCTCTTCCTTGGGAGAAGAGGCAAAGAGAAGATGCCTCTCTCTGGTCATGGAGTGACAGCAACAGTTTCACATAATCACTAAGTTTTGTATATGTCCAAGTTCATGTGTCCTTACAACCAAAATGAATTGCCGTAACTATTAAGCCTGATGGAGCCATGACCTGACCATGTAAAAAGTTCTGGTGTCCTCAAAATAAAAAGGACATGGAACTGTTGGAACAAGTCCCGAGGAGGCCACGAGGATGCTCAGGGACTGGAGCATCTCCTGTATGAAGAGAGGCTGAGAAAGTTGGGGCTGTTCAGCCAGGAGAAGAAAAGGCTGCGTGGAGACATCAGAGCAGCTTCTGGTGTCTGAAGGGGGGCTATAAGGATGCTGGGGAGGGACTCTTCATTAGGGACTGTAGTGACAGGACAAGGGGTGATGGGTTCAAACTTAAACAGGGGAAGTTTAGATTGGATATAAGGAGGAAGTTCTTTACTGTGGCTGCCCCATCCCTGGCAGTGTTCAAGGCCAGGTTGGACACAGGGGCTTGGAGCAAGCTGCTCTAGTGGAAGGTGTCCCTGTCAGTGGCAGGGGTTGGAGCTGGATGAGCTTTAAGCTCCCTTCCAACCCCAACTATTCCATGATTCTGTGCTTCCTTAATGCTGCAGAAAACCTCTGTTGCTACGAAGTTGCTCTGTGAAAACCAGTTCATTTGTTGTTTATTCTGTGTCCTGCAGAGGTGATTTAAAGTGCTACCTTTTTCCCTCAGGTGCAGATGTAAACTGTCAAGCCAAGGACAGAGCCACTCCGCTGCTGATTGCTGCCCAGGAGGGCCACCTCGAGTGTGTGAGGCTGCTGTTAGCCAGTGGGGCAGACCCAAACCTCTACTGCAATGAGGATAACTGGCAGTTACCTATTCATGCAGCTGCTGAAATGGGCCATGACAAGTAGGTGGTGAAAGGGACATTCAGACAGAAGAGTCTGGTAATAAAAACTTAATAGACAAAGATGAAGTTCAGCTTTAAAAGGAAGAAAAATGAGTTCTAGTTGATTTGTAGTTTATAATTCCTAATTATATTTGAATATTAAATGTCTCTTTGTAGTCACAGTAAAGTGACTAACTGTATGAAATTCAGCGTCTCAGCTGGGTCGGATCCATCTCCTGATGAGCTGAAAGTGGTTTCCACAGTGCTGAACCAATATCAATTCATAGAATCATAGAATGGTTTGGGTTGGAAAGGACCTTAAGATCACCCAGTTCCAACCCCCCTGCCATGGGCAGGGACACCTCACACTAAACCAGCTCACCCAAGGCCTCGTCCAACCTGGTCTTGAACACTGCCAGGGATGGAGCATTCACAAACTCCCTGGGCAACCCATTCCAGTGCCTCACCACCCTAACAGGAAAGAATTTCCTCCTTAGATCCAATCTAAACCTCCCCTGTTTAAGTTTTAACCTGTTACCCCTTGTCCTGTCACTACAGTCCCTAATGAAGAGTCCCTCCCCAGCATCCCTATAGCCCCCTTCAGATACTGGAAGCTGCTCTGAGGTCTCCACACAGTCTTCTCTTCTCCAGACTGAACAGCCCCAACTTTCTCAGCCTGTCTTCATACATGATTCACTCAGTAGTCATTCTAAATTAAATTCTAATTACGTTAAAATTCATTTAGAAATATAAATAACAATAGCATATGACTTATACCTGCCTTGAACAGCTGCTAATTATAATTCTGTTCCTGTTAACTAGCAGAAGTAATCATATGCAAATAATGAGCTGAACCAGCCAGAAAAGTGAAGGCACAAACCATTTCCTTTAATCCTTCCAGAAATGCATTTGTAGCTTTGCTCAGTCCCAGTGATACTTCCACAGCAGAAAGGCAGGAGTGGAAAGAGGTTCCCAGAGTTGGCAGAAGCATCTCTTGGGAACCCCGTGATTTGCACGTGTGCTACAGCACTTCATAGAATCCCAGCCTGGTTCGTGTTGGAAGGGACCTTAAAGCTCCTCCAGCTCCAACCCCTGCCATGGGCAGGGACCCCTTCCACTAGAGCAGCTTGCTCCAAGCCCCTGTGTCCAACCTGGCCTTGAGCACTGCCAGGGATGGGGCAGCCACAGCTTCTCTGGGCACGCTGTACCAGCGCCTCAGCACCCACACAAGGAGAACTTCTTCCTTATATCCAACTTGAACTCTCCTGTTTAAAGTTAAACATATTAACGGTGATAGTAACTGCAGAATTATTTGTAGATGCTTGATCTTAACCCCTGGCAAGAAGAGCTTATCAGTTGAGCTGTCACTAAAGTTTGTGCATCAAATGGATGCCTCTCCTCAAACTGAAGAAGAGGGCAGGCTGTAGTAGACACTGAGGAAGCTGGGTTTGTCCATTTGCTCAGAAACAGAAGCTGGGTTGGCAAAGTTGCCACTACTAGCAATGTCTAAATCAAATGCTGCCTTTGTAGCTTCTGCAACAAGATGTAACTGACAGCCTCTGAGCAGCATCACTGAATTCCAGCAGCAAAGGAATTAGTGTCACTAATTTTTGTTAGCTGGGAAGGATGCAGACCAGAGGTGTGAGCTATGAAACAGAACTGTTTCACTGTTTCAGTATCTCAGTGTTGTTGAACAGAAGTAAATACTCATTTTATTTGCAACTCCCACTTCCAGTTTGCTTCCAGGCTTCTTAGAAGTCTAGAGGTAGTGTGTAGTGGGGCTCTATTGCTGTAAAAAGGATTGTTGGATGGTAGGAGATAATCTGTCTCTGCTTTAAAATACTTAACTGCCAACCTAAATCTATGCCAAAGCACAATTTGTTGTGGGGCTGTGTGTGAAATGCTAAGGGTTGTTCTGTAATGGAAACTCAGTGTGTAACAAACATGTAGAACTTTCCTCTTGAGCTGTAATGACCATATGAAAACCAACCATACATTTAAAATGCATCATTGCTTAAGATCTCACAATAAATAGTGCTTTTCAATATTTTCAGGATATTGGAGTTACTAATCCCAGTTACTGATCGAATCTGTGACAAAGGCAAAGGCAAAGTGAGCCCTGTGTATTCAGCAGTGTATGGTGGTAATAAGGAATGTTTGGAGATGTTACTCAGAGAAGGCTACAGTCCAGATGCTCAGGAGTGCCTTAACTTCGACTGCAGGTCACCCATGTGTATGGTCTTCCAAAAGAAGTAAGTAGACCTCTTGTATTTTGAAACTATTTGTAATTATATTGGTCTTTATTTAACTTTTATTTCCAGTGTGCCATTTTCCTGCCCTCCTTCCTCAAACCTTGAGCTGAGAGCGTTAAACTTTGAGTATCTGAATGGTGAGTGGGGTTTGGATTCAGTACCTGAGCTGAGGAACCTCGCTGGAATCGCCAAGGGGAAGCTCAGCTCTTGGAAGAACAGTCTTGTAGAACATAATTGCAGTTTTCCTGCTTTCAGAAGGCCTTCTCAGCACCTCTCTGTCTTCTGGAAACATGACTTGGTGCTGTAGTTGGATGCAAAGGACTCTTGAGTAGGCAGATGCTTTTCAGTAAGGATGAGTGCTTGGCAAATAGTGTTTTCCTTTTCTGTATGCCCACCTTGTGCATAAACCAAGCTGAATTAATCAGCTCACCATGAGAGCTGTAAGGAGGACTGGGAGCTGAATGACATGTTCTTTTAGATCATGACCCATTTCTTTTTATCCCTGGTGAGGCACAGCCCTGGTGTTGAGCAGCAGATAAAGCAGTGCTTACTTCACGATGCAAAGGCTGTAATTTTGGAGGAAAAATAAGGTATACAAGCCTTACTCCTCAGTGTATATATGTGCTGTGCCAGTGAGGTGCTCCTTTACTACAGAAGTTTCTTCTTCCTTTCTCTGTGGGAAATCTGTTCATGGAGGAGTGAGCTATTGCTGAAACAGATCTAGTTGTTGCTGTCCCCGAACTCACCCTGTGCTCCTCCCAAACTAACTCGGTATCTAAACTAACATTCCAAGCCTTGAATACTGGCGCAGTTGAAAAGCTGGCAACAGAGCTGGTGCAGGACCTGGAGCACAAGTATGATGGGGAATGCCTGAGGGACCTGGGGGGTTCAGTGTGGAGAAGAGAAGGCTCAGGGGGGACCTGATGGCTCCCTACAAGTGCCTGAGAGGAGGATGGAGCCAGGAGGGGCTGGGCTCTGCTCCCAAGGAACAAGGGATGGGACAAGAGGAAACGGCCTCAAGCTGCACCAGGGCAGGTTTAGATGGAGCTGAGGAACAATTCCTGCCCCAGAGGGTGCTCAGGCATTGGAACAGGCTGCCCAGGGCAGGGCTGCAGTCACCGTCCCTGCAAGGGTTCACAGCCCGTGGAGACGAGGCCTCAGTGCCATGGGTTAGTGGTGGCCTTGAACACTGCCAGGGATGGGGCAGCCACAGTTTCTCTGGGCACCCTGTGCCAGTGCCTCAGCACCCTCCCAGGGAAGAGCTTCTGCCTAAGAGCTCATCTCAGTCTCCCCTCGGGCAGGTTCAAGCCATTCCCTTTTCTTTGGTTTGGGTGAATTTTTGGTAGAAATTTGCTTTCTCAGAAGTAGTGAAATGGTGGATGCTTCCTTAGGGAAAAAAAAGTAACAGGCTGTCCTGTTCCTTGTGTGCTCTTTGTAGGTATTTCTATTTCATTGATACTTTCCTGAAATACGGGATCACTTTACTGGGCATCAATCTGGGCTATTGCCTGTACCATGAGAAGTTTGCTTTGTTCCAACGCTTCTTGAAGCTGGGCTGTTTGCTGCCTTCTGGGGACCAGCTCTGGGACTTCCTGAGCTACACAATTCAAGCCCAAGAGGCATACAAGCAGTGGCTGCCTTATCTGCTCCTGGCTGGTTTTGACCCAGTGAATTTAATGCACAGACTCTGGTAAGCAGATAACGTTATCTTGTTGACTTAACTATTGTATGTTAATCCACAAAGCTGTTGCCAATGTGTGTTTCATAGGATAGCACTTGATAATCAGTTGCCATGATCAGGAGTGGGGAGGGTTCTGGGAAGTCTGGAATAAATCATTCATGGGTAATGGCTGGATTCAATAACACACCTTTCTTGTAGGCCAAAAGCCAGAATGGAGGTTGCTTCACCAATACCATGGGGGAAAGCACGATTCCAGAGTTTTATATCAAACATCTCTTCTTAGCCCCCAGATTTAGTTGTGTAATATGGTGATGGGAAGAAGACCTTCGGAGGAGGTCAGGAGGGGTGGGAAACAAATGTATAGTGAAGCTGGGCTGAGGCTGAGAGGAAAAGGATGCAGTTAGAGATTGTGGTGAACAGTCACGTTGCGCAAATGCCAATCTGAGCGTTTGCCATTGGGGTGTTTTAAGTTTTTCCACATAAAAATAACTTCTTGGCAATGTTTTATGCTTAATCAGACACTACAGAATGAATGAAACTTACACTTAACATTACAAAGTATTAGTGTTTTCTGTTTTTCTTGTCCATGACAATAATGTTGAGACTTTACTACCATGTATCTCAGCTATTAACATGACGTGAGGTGTATAAACTCATTACATGCATTACTTAACGGGGTGAAAGGAGAAGGAGTTTACTTTAAAGGAAATGTTTAATTAAAATGAAATACTGATTTGTATTTCAGCTACTGCTAAGGTATTGTAGTTTTGAATCCCTTCATTTATGACTTGGTGAGATTCTGTTAATTATTAGCACCTGTGGCTTTCTGACCAGTGATTAGAGGAGCAGATCTACAGCAGGGCATGTCTGTGCTTCTGTACATCAGATTTATTCATAGAAGTGAGTGTGAAAGTCCAGCCACTGCAAGATTGCAGTTCAGTGACTGAACAGGTATCACTGCCCACCTATATCATATATGATGTGTTTTGATATTTTGGTACTTAATCCACAAACACTTTTAGACCAATTGCTTCCTTCAATTATGGACTTTTTAAAATGACACTGCATCATAATCTATAAAACTGCTGGTCTTGTAAGTTTAATATTAACTATTCTGTCCTGGAGGATAGTAGGAGGACAGTAGAAAGCAAATGCCATTTATGGGTATGGTTCATTAACTGTCTCTGTCACATTGTGCAAAACAGCTACAGAATCCCAGCCTAGTTTGTGTTGCAAGGGACCTTAAAGCTCCTCCAGCTCCAACCCCTGCCACGGGCAGGGACCCCTTCCACTAGAGCAGGTTGCTCCAAGCCCCTGTGTCCAACCTGCCCTTGAACACTGCCAGGGATGGGGCAGCCACAGCTTCTCTGGGCACCCTGTGCCAGCACCTCAGCATCCTCACAGGGAATAAACTGCTCAATATAAATATAAAAAATCATAATAATAGAATCAATGATTAACTGCTCAGTGTAGAGGACTGACAGCTTTGATACCAGTAGAGCAGTGAAATCGCCATTCTCTGAAAGCAAGCCAGGCAGTCGCATCTCTCCTGCAGGGCTCCAGTGAATATATGAAAATCTAGTCAAATATGAAAAATGAAATCATACAAACTAGAAAGGACACAACATAATGTTGACATGAATCTGCTGTAAAAAACCCAAATGTATTACAAGGGATTAGTCTGGTATGTGTGTTTAGAGCATTTAGATTTCCATTCAGATGAATTGGATTGTACACACCCAGCCGAGGAGCTGTGGCTCTTCATCACACCTCATGTAAACCAGTTGTTTCACCTCCTTTTCCTTAAACCTTCTTGTGTGCTTTATCAATTGAGCTGTTATTAAAAGTTCTTTACACATGCTGAAGGTTTGAAATGTAAACCATGCTGACTTCTGGATACATAGAAATGCAGTCTCTGGTAGAAGAGTTTGAAATACCTGCACATCTTGTGGGGTTTTGTTGTAATAAACAAGTATCTCAGTAAATGCACATTTCCCCCCCCGCAGTGCAATGGTAATGCTTAGAATGCTCTGGTGTCTGGAGCTCTTATTAACATGTAGGTGGAAAGAGAGTAATAAATCAGTGCAGAGGAGAATGCTGCCTATTACTGAGGCATTTAAATCTCATAGTACATCTTTTTCTCTTACAGTCTATCTTACTTTTGAAAATAAATGAAGATAAAACTACATTAGTAAATGCTTATGCTGTTACTTGGACTTCTCTTTAGTGGTTTTCTCTTTCTGGGCTTAGGATGGAGGTTGATAAGGATTTGTTAGAAAATGTAAAGCTTTCTATGTGTTGTTTCCATTATTATATTTATGCAATCGTGTAAAATGCTGTTTTATGGGGATTTTTGTTATGTAGGATTTTATCCGTGGGAGATAATGCCCTTAATTTCACTCTGGAGTTCACCAACTGGAAAAGACTTCCTCCAGCTGTGGAGCAAGACCTTTCAGAATACAAGGAGACGTTCACTTGGACTCCAAAGAGCCACTTTGGTAAGTGCAGTGAGGGGAAACCAGTCTGTGTGTCCCAGCTTCCAGGCTGCGGGTGGGAATTGGCTCTGTGTGCTAATGCACCATGGCAAAGGAGGTTCCGTGGTTAACAGACATGGCTTGTCTGGAGACTGGGGAGCAGAAATAGCAGGTCCCCTAAACAAGCAAAACATATTGTCCTCAGTACGTGTTCAATTCATAGTTAGAATGTTTCAGGTAGGTATTGTCATGTTAAGGTATCGTGTCCACTTCAAGTGAATGCATGTGCTATAAATGTAAAATATGGGTAGTGACTGAATCATGCTGTGCCTTCCTGACATGGGTTGTTCAGCCTCTTAGAAGATTTAAGGGAAATGATCAGTATTACTTAGCTACGTTTCCTGGACAATTATCATGGAATCCCAGCCTGGTTTTGGTTGGAAGAGACCTTAACATTCATCCAGCTCCAAGCCCTGCCACGGGCAGGGACACCTTCCACTAGAGCAGCTTGCTCCAAGCCCCTGTGTCCAACCTGGCCTTGAACACTGCCAGGGATGGGGCACCCTGTGCTAGTAAATAGATAAATCTGTCCAGTACAGAACTCCAATGCTTCCAAATCCTTGGAGCAAGCTGCTCTAGTGGAAGATGTCCCTGCCCATGACAAGGGGTTGGAACTGCATGAGCTTTAAGGTCCCTTCCAACCCAAAATAGTCTGTGATTGTATGATTCTATGATAATATGAATGTTTGTGTCTGAGCAATGCACATTTATAGACATGCTTGTGTATCTTTTTGGCACGGTGGTTGTCCTAATTCAAGTTATTTAGCAACATATTAGAACGTTTGTCATCATACACAAACTGACTCATGCAGTCATTTAATAACTTACCCTGAAACTGTTTTCCCTGGTGTTATTTTGTTGCTGGATTTGCTCCTAGACTTAATTTTCCATTTCTTGCAAGGTGGCACAAGCCTCCCTTCCCAGGCAAAGAGCTGTTCTAGGCTGGTTAGATGAAACCTTGAGGATAAAATGATTCCTTGATGCTTTGTTTGTAGAAGTTTAAATTAATAGAGCAACTATAGCAACACGCTGAAAATGCTGATCTAGCATCAGCAGCCCTTCAGTAGCCAGAACTGTGCCCTGTTATCTGCCAGGGAGCGGGGGTTCAGATGAAATCCAGGTGACCACAGGCAAACAACGTGATCCCACAGCATCCTGCTCAGTGTCTGCCCTGGTTCTGATTTTCCAGCCTCCATTCCTCCCCTGTCCCACCTCTGCCGTCTCGAGATCCGGGCCATCCTAAGGAGCGAGCGCCTGCGATCGGACCGCTTTATCCGGGAATTGCCACTGCCAGCTTGCCTCCAGGACTACCTGCTCTACTTGGATGTGCTGCGAGTCAACAGCATCCCAGAAGCAGAGGATTACCTGGGGCAGAGAGAGGAGGGAGCTGCTCCTTCCGCTGAAGATGCAGAGAGGAGGGACACGTGCCACTGGGACTAGGTGATGGCGCTGCCAGGGACAGAACTCTGGCTGCAGAGTTTGTAATGGCAGTTAGCAGGCACTGGAGAAGAGCCACTGTAAATAAAGTAGTAATAACTCTTCCCACACTGTAGTTTTGTATCTAGAAGTTTGTTAGAAGTTCTGGGAGTCACTTGTTTACCAAGTCTGTTGGAGCTTTCTAAGGCTGTGAACACTTTCTGGGTTTCGAAAGGAAGATTTTAACTCTTACGGAGTAAAATGGGCTTGTTCAATGAACACGGCTTATAGAGTGGTCAAAATCTGTTTGGTTTATGGAGTAATATTGGCCTGTTAGAATCACAGAATCCTAGAATAGTTTGGGTTGGAAAGGACCTTAAGATCATCCAGTTCCACCCCCCCTGCCATGGGCAGGGACACCTCACACTAAACCAGGTCACCCAAGGCCTCGTCCAACCTGGTCTTAAGCACTGCCAGGGATGGAGCTTTCACAACCTCCCTGGGCAACCCATTCCAGTGCCTCACCACCCTCACAGGAAAGAACTTCCTCCTTATATCCAGTCTGTTGAATGAACACAGCTTAGATTGGTTGAAATCTGTTTGGTCAGACACTGGTAGTAGATGCTTTATTCCAAGTACTGCATATCCCAAATGAAACTACCAGAGGTCAAGGAACATGGTATTACTGTTATGGATTTATGGTCTGAGGGGTGATCTGACTGCACCAGAGACAGGAAAATAATACAAGAAAAGGCATTGTTTGCTGAAGGAACAGTGACTTTCTTTTTCCTTTCCTTGGTCGTCTCTACTTGGCAGAAGGTCGGAGCGGGAGGCTGGCTCGGAGCCTGCTGCCTGGCACAGCCCATGGGCAAGGCACGGAATGTCCCCACGAGCACACCAACGTGACACTACTGTACACAGATCCCTCCTTCCATGAAGTGAGAAGGTAACAGCTGTCCCACAGGGGGTGGCAGGGACACCTTGATGGACAACAGCTGCATCCCTTGCGCTGGGAAGGAGCCCTTGTCCTGCAGAGGTGAAGCTGGTGCTGCCAGGCTCACTGGTAGTAGATGCAGAAGGCGTGGAGGATGTACAGGAAGGTCGTGATGAAGGCGAATAACTGCATGAGAGGAAGAAGAGCATCAGCTTGGAGAGTCTAACCCCATCTCCTCTTAGTGCTCTCAACCCAGGGAAGCCTCCAGCCCAGAGCTCTCTCCAGCCTCAAAGAAGCAGCAAAGCCCCGTGTTTCCCACGTTTCTATGGGCTACTGGACCCTGAGAAGCCCATGCTGGCTGCATGACACAGCAGAAAGGAGGAGCTGAAGCTCTGACCAGCGTGATGGGCTTGGGATGGCTCTGTTGTAGCTTCAGTACTTGCGTCTCCCCCAAGGGAGTCCTGCCTGCCCCAAGGTGTGCTCTGCCCCACTCACCGATGCAGCACTGTTGAGATGGTAGTAAAGGGGCGAGTTGAGCTCGGACTCAGAGCGGATGGTCGCGTTGGCTTGCAGGACAGCAGCGCTCATGTACAGAATGGCTGTGGCACCATGGTACAGACTGTCCTGCAAAGCAAGGGAGCAGCGAGGATGAAAGCCTGGGACCATCCTTCTCCCATCTGCCCAGAGGACAGGCTCGATCCCAGCCCCTCCTTACCAGCACTTTCCAGTTCTCGCTGTTTCTGTGTAAGCCAAAGAGGTAGCTCAAGAGCAGCAGCAGGGAGATGAGGGAGGAGGTGAGGGACACGTACATCACCCATCCCTGCAGCAGCGGGAAGGAGACGGAGGTCGCAGCAACGAGGATCCACACCCACGTCCCACAGAACTGCCAGGGACAAGCACAGGCACCTCTGATGAGCACAGGATGGGGAAGGTCCCTTCTCCTCCCTGAGTCCCTCCTTGCCTCCCTCCTGTGCCAGCCCCAGCAGCTGCTGGAAGCACTTGAGGCAGCATGGACCAGCCTGGATGATCCCAGCAGGACAGCAGCACCACAGACAGGCATGAGTTTCCATGAACGCTCTTGGGCAATACTTCAGGACATCCCTTACGAAAGGGAAAGGTTTGGTGCTGAGTTCAAGGAGACATCTCCCTCTGAGGGCTTTGGCAGAGAGGCCAAAACACGGGTTTCCATCTGGGGAAAGCCAGCAGCGGCGTCGGCTCGGCCCTGCCCACTCATAAATCTCCTGGGTTGAAATCACAGCACGAGGAGGTCACCTCCGGCCTCCACACACAGCCCAGAGGGAGTCGCTCGCGCTGGATCCACCTCAGGTATTTACAGTGCACACAGAGCACGGGGTTATCTGGAGGAGCTGGGGCTGTTCTGTGGCATTCCAGCTCCCCCGGATGAGACTCCCTGGGATGGGCAGTGGGAGCAGAGCCCACCGGCAGCTCCTGACAAAGCCCAGTCCTGGCCATGGTGCCTGCAGAGCATGGTGATGTGTCAAAGTACAGCAGCAGTTATCAGCCAGACCCACCGCCTGCCCTCTGGACCCGTAAGCAATGGAAATAATTATGGAATGCTGCGTGTTTACAGGACACCCCCTTGCCTTCAAGGAAAATCTCTATATACAAGGGCCTGCAGGGACAGGCCAAGGGGAATGGCTTGAACCTGCCCGAGGGGAGACTGAGCTGAGCTCTGAGGCAGAAGCTCTTCCCTGTGAGGGTGCTGAGGCGCTGGCACAGGGTGCCCAGAGAAGCTGTGGCTGCCCCATCCCTGGCAGTGTTCAAGGGCAGGTTGGACACAGGGGCTTGGAGCAAGCTGCTCTAGTGGAAGGGGTCCCTGCCCGTGGCAGGGGTTGGAGCTGGAGGAGCTTTAAGGTCCCTTCAACCCAAACCCTTCTATGATTAATGCTGTCCTCGGGGTTGTTTCAAGGTCCGCTCCCAGCTTTTCAGCCCCTCCATTCCCTGAAGGCATTCTCATGGTGCGGTCCCACAGCAGATCCCGGCATACTCACAATCTCGGGCAGGATGAACGAGTAGGGGATGGTTCTGAGGACGGCGGTGCCGGAGGGCAGGGCCGGCTGCGTGGTGGCCGCAGGGGGTCCGGCTGAGGCCATGGCTCCTCCGCGGGCACCGGGGCTGTGCTCGCATGTGTCCGCGCCGCTCGCCAGCTGGGTTTTAACCGGCACACCCGCGGGACGTCAGCGCTCAGCCTGCCCGTGCTGGCACCGTGCCGCGGCCCCGGTCCCTCCGGCTGCATCCACACCCCGCTGCCCGCGCCGGGGCGGAGAGCGGCACCCAGCCCCGGCAGGTCAAGGTCTTCAATGAGCGGGGAAGGAAACATCAAATCCTAGTCCGGGCTGGGCTGGGACGTTTCCTGCAGCCGGGTTCTGGCCCTGGCACGCTTTCAGGCCTGCAATGTTTTTGCTTCCACTGGTGGTGCCTCCTCCCCTTTCTGTTCAGGTTTCGGCTCCGTGCTCACATCAGGCTTCCCCACAGCCACCGCCTTTGAAACCTGCAGCCAGGTTTAAGCCACACTTAAACAGGGAGGATTTAGGTTGGAGATAAAGAAGCTCTTCCCTGTGAGGGTGCTGAGGCGCTGGCACAGGGTGCCCAGAGAAGCTGTGGCTGCCCCATCCCTGGCAGTGTTCAAGGGCAGGTTGGACACAGGGGCTTGGAGCAAGCTGCTCTAGTGGAAGGTGTGAGCTTTAAGGTCTTTTCCAACATTGTATGTTCTATGGAATACTTTTTACAGACAAGTCTGCACATTGGTAAAACATGGAAGCATTTGCCATGGACTCTGGAGGACAGCTCCTGGCACAGTTTTGATCCCTGCCTCCTGGCAGGTACCCTTTGGATTCAACAAGTACGTGCTGTTTCTTGCAGAGGACTCTGCTTCAGCCCCCAACTCCCCAGTATCTGGTGGGATGAAAGGCTGAAGGTGGCATCTCTGCCTCAGGGCTTGGAAAGGACGAAAGGACTCAAGTAACACTACAGCGGAGGACAATATCCCAGTAAGATACCATATCTCTCTGCTAGGAGAGCCAAGTGGTGCCCTAGGAATCAGTTTCTGCACCAAGCTCTTGTGCAATACAGAGCAAAGATTGACTCTGTGACATTCCTGATGGTGCAATCCCCTCCTGGGCTGGGGAAGTGCATCGTGGCATTGCTGGAGGCTCCAGTTCACAAACGCTGTCAGTGGGAGCTGGCTTCAGTGTGCTGTGGTCTGGGAAACACCTTAAAGCATTTCACACCCCAGACAAAACTAGTGCCTGGCTCAGAACTGACTCCATCGGAAAAGGAGCCTTTACCATCCTGAGCTGCCTTAGGAATACCCCGCAGGTCCTTATCCTGCCCTCCAAAGTCAGCATATGGCAGCCACACACTGGGGAAACATCATACCCTGAGCTCTCAACAGCTTTTATTTGTGTTAGGTGGGTCAGGCACATTCCTATGAATAACCCAGCCTTTTCCTGAATGGGAAGGGAAAACACTAAAACAGTCTAAGTACGGAGCAACCTCTTGGCTGCTCATTGGGCAAGGGATGGTGTTTTTTCCCCCTAACCTAGCTGACCTTGCTCAGCAGCATTCTTCAAGATCCCTGCTGTTTCCCTTGCCTGGTCGCAGCCTGCTGGGGTACCATGACAGAGAAGCTTTTGTTCACCCTGGTTAAACAACACTGGAAATGAATTGGAAGCTGCCTGAGAGGAGAAAAGTGCTGCCTCGGCAGTTCATAGAATCACAGAATCATTGACTGATTTGAGTTGGAAGGGGCCTTAAAGCTCCTCCAGCTCCAACCCCTGCTCTCACGAGCAGGGACCCCTTCCACTAGAGCAGCTTGCTCCAAGCCCCTGTGTCCAACCTGGCCTTGAGCACTGCCAGGGATGGGGCAGCCACAGCTTCTCTGGGCACCCTGTGCCAGCACCTCACCCTTTGCCCAGCAAAATATGATGCTTGATGTGGCCACAACAGGTAGGTGGAGTACCAGCCAACCACAGCCCTAACACTGCAAGTGTAGGGATTTAAAATAACTTCAGTATCTCTCAAAGTGTTAAATATGTAGAAATATTCATTACAATTCAGATAGTACAGAGTTTGGTGAGAATTTATTCAGGTTGTTACTCCCTTCTTCCATCTGTTACCCGTTCACACATTGTGGTCATCATCCCTCGCTTCCCCCAGGAAGTCATAGGCCAGCTCGGAGATGTCGAAGGCTGTGTGAGTGTTCTCTGCTGCCAGCAGGTACTGGAGGGCCCCGTCGTTCTCTCGGCTCTTCTTCAGGAAGTCAGCAATCACCTTCCAGCGCAAGGCCTCGGACTCTTCCTCAGCCCACTTGTAGGGGGGCAGGAGAGTGGAGTGGAGCAGCGGGAACACGGAGTCGTGGTACACCAGCACGAAGAGGGACTTGAGAAACTCCCCATCTCTCTGCAGAGAGGAGTGTTTGGAGATGCATCAGTGCAAATACTGCTCCAGAAGTGCTGTCACACACAAGAAAATGGTCAACTCGTCCCCAGTTCTCAGGATTACAACAGGAAGAGGTCTGACCTTCCTAAGCAAACATCACTTGGCTCAGGTGAGCTTCAAACTCCTTTCAGAAGCCCTCCATACTAGTACAGTAGTGGAGTGGTCTTGATGGCATTGCTTTTGTAGTAGGTTATAGAGCTGTAGAACCAACCAGGTTGGAAAAGCCCTTTAAGCTCATCCAGTCCAACCATTCCCCAGCACTGCCAAGGCCACCACTAACCCATGGCACTGAGGCCTCGTCTACACAGGGTGTGAACACTTCCATGGCCCTGCTGCCGCACTGGTGCTGATCCAAGCCAGGATGCTGGTGGCTTCTTGGCTGCCTGGGCAGAAGCTGCTCATGTTCAGCTCCATCAATCAGCACCCCCGGGTCCTTTTCCATGGGTAGTTTCCAGCCACTCTTCCCCAGGCAGGCTCTGCAGGCACAGGCTGAGGCTCTTTGCTCTTGCCGTGGGGCAGTGCCACATCCTCCCACCTCGGCAGCCCAACCTCTGCTCCCTTCTCCACTGCCCTAGGCAGGGAATTGCAGCAATCCCACACTCCTCACAGCACCCAGCTCTTGGCAGCAGGTGAGGCTGCACCGCAAGTGCTCTTGTTTCACTCTGTGTGGGGTGAGAATGATGCTCTCCCTGGTAAAGACCAGTTTCAAAACCTAGAGGCTAAGAATCAGTCAGTTATCCAACACTGAAAGATCCCAACTGCTTTAACTGGACAAGATATAACTAGACAAGGTTTGGGTGCCTTGTTTTCCATGTGCACACTGGTGTTGTGCAGTTCATATCTCAGCAGGAGATTCAGCAGCGAGAACCATGCAAGGAGGAGTAAGGGTTCACCAGGCAGCAATCCTGCCCTGGGAGTGGCACACAACAAATCAGGTAAAACTGGATGGTTCTGGGCTACCAGGGAGTTACTAATTCTTTGAGCAGATCAGCTTTCATTTGGGATTAATGGCCTTGAAAAAGTGATTCTGACTCAACAGCGTGTTGGTTTGTTTGCATAAACAGGGTGAACTCCTTGGGTAGCTGTTCAGTAGCACACACGGTGAATGGAATACCCTCCTGCTCCCAAGGGACAAGTCTTGGATGAAGAGCCAAAGCCTCTCTGGTTCAGTTGCCTATAGCCTCTCCTTGTCCAGAGAGCAGGAGATAGGACAAGGGATGGATAAACCTGGTGACACGGCGAGTCCTCCAACTGTCTGCACCCCAAAATGGGAGATACCAAGAGGCTGATGCAAGGAATGGGCAGGATGTGGGGCGTTTTTCCAGGTGGACTGTGGGAGCTCAGAGGTGGAGGAGGGAAGGTTATTTCGTGGGCATACACAGCCCCTTTTGAGCCACTGGAAAGCTTTTACCAGACAAGTACTGGAGGCACCCTTTGGGTATGCACCTCTAATAGCTCCCCTGCTAACAACCCTATGCAAACACTGGGACAACAACTTGATGTCATATTCCTCCTTCTTCTAGTTTAATACTATAGGTACGGGTAAGAAATGTTAAGAACTGCATTTAGGTACCTGTTTTGTAAGTAACTGTATGAGAGGAAAAGGTAACTAGCAGTAACACTGACAGAAAGCTCCTAGTCTGATTTAGATTGAATATGTCAGCAAAACCCCTGTAATTTCTTACCTTCTCAGATCTCTTCACTGTTCTTTCTCTATCTGCCCAAGCACTCTAAAATGAAATGAAGCATTAAATCAGACTCGAGGTTGTGGAGATCTAAAGCAATTCCATTTCTAGCTGCAAAAATCTCTCTTTTTAACTGCAGTCCCCCAGTGGGTTAGGCTCCTGTTGCAGTCCCACTTCCTTCACACTCCCATACCCCCCTTGTGCCATGTTAACTGATTTAAGCAAAGAGCCATTCCACTGCATTGTACAGATACAAGGACTTGGAGATGTGGACATCCTGACACATCAGATGCAGTTGAACACTATGTGGATAACATACCCGAAGTGCATCCATCAGGTCTGGCTGATCCATGAGTTGAGGGAAAGTTGCTAGAATAGGATTACAGATTAAATCTGAAACAGCAAACAAACACATTCAAGTTTAAGGAGGAAATGGGATGACTCTCAAGGTACTGACATGTCAAGTTATTCAGCACATTCCCTCCCCTCAGACTATTCCAAAGGGAAGACTGGCTGTAATAATACTTCAGTGCAGTGGGGAAGGTGGAAGAACTCTCTGACTGCATCCTCTGTAGCAAGCTCCCAGTGGCTGAGAGACAGTTAACTGGGAGAGGAGAGGCACAAACCCAACTGCTTTATTAGAAGCCAGAGACCTTTCAGGTTTCCCCTAGGGGCAGGCTGAGGTTTTCCTCATTTCCACACCTGTCTTTTTATAAACACCTGGAATTGTGCTGCTTGGCTTGGATGTTGTGAATAAACACACGTGTTCTGCCTTAACCTGCCTTGTCTGGTGCGCCATGTTCATAGAGTCCCAGCATCAGCCAAGCTGGAAAAGACCTTTAAGATCATCAAGTCCATCTCTCCATCAAGAGCCCAACTCCCTCCTGGCTCCATCCTCCTGTCAGGCAGTTGTAGGGAGCAATCGGGTCCCCCCGAGCCTTCTCTTCTCCAGACTGAACCCCCCAGGTCCCTCAGGCGTTCCCCATCACACTTGGGCTCCAGGCCCTGCACCCAAGGGTTTC